CAATTTGTTGTATTTACTTTAAAATTGATACTGCGTTATCAATTAATCAATTCTACCCTTTCTTCACAAGTATCCAATTATAAGTTTGAACAACTGAAATAATCTGTAATGAGAAAACATATATAAGAATAAAAAAGTTTAAATTTGCGTTTGCTTAGAAATTATAAAAACTATTTTACATTTTTGCACCGTCACACATACACAACCATAATAGTGAAATTTACTGGGGATAAATTACAACTATCCCTTGAGAATTATATCTTGTTTGGATAATGACATCTAGCTCATCGACTATGATTTTTTCTTAAACCTCCATCCTTATTGTGTCAAATTCAACATAATCATCTAGATTATGTGGAATGTGCAGTTTATATATATATATATATATATATATATATATATATATATATATATATATATATATATATATATATATATCAGATTATGACCATCTTGCTTCAAAATGTGGAGTTCTAATAGAATAAAACGGGTACAAAAGTGATAATATCCATATAATCTAGAAGATTCCACTAAATTTGAAACCGCAAGGGTGGACGTGTAAGAAGATTTATAGTTGTGAAGGGTGATTGTAATTACCCAAACAGGAGGGGGTTTTTCTTAATTTGACCATACATCAAGGAGTGGTTTTAATTTACCCGCAAAAATAATGAAATTATTTATCTATTTTATCATAATAGAATAAATTATTTCGGATTATATTATGTTCAAAATAATTACAAGGGACCTTAAGATATAGGTGGTCCCTAGTGTGAAAACTTATTATAACTAAATGACAGGCTTAACTAAATCGTTACTACAATTCATTTATAAAATTAATTCCAAAAATGCCCCCACTCACAAATTTGAAATATGCTTTAATTAAAATTCATATTGCATTTATCATCTTTTTAGTCTGGAATATTTTCATTTTTCCATCTTATATTTTTATTTTTATTTTTACAAAAGAAAAGTTTTTCTTTTTTCTTTTTTTTCTTTGGGTTTTTTGATATAATTCCCTCAATACTTTTTTTAATAGAGAAATGCCCAAACTATTTTACATCATTTGAGAAAACCCACTTCAAATTTTAGCCAATTGTTTTCTCATTTATGTCCCTCCACCTTACACATCCCCATGACCATCAACCCACTATCCCATGATCCATCAGCCCATTATCCCCATGACCCAGTCGTGTCTCTCTCTCTCCTTTTTTTTTTCTTTTTTTTATATTATTATTATTATTATTAATTTATTATTGTTATTATTATTATTTTTTTATTCTTTTAAAAAATTATTTTAAAAAAAAATTGTTTAATTTTTTTTTTTTTTGTTAACATTTTTTCTCTATCAGATATGTTAATCGACTATGAAGCATATTAAATCAACTATGATGAACTATAGTCGATTAAGGAACCGACTACTAAAAATAACAAATCATAACTACAAAAATGCAAACAAAACTATATTTTACAAAAATAAACAATATAAAAACATTATAATTGATTTATACAATTGGAATCAATAAACAAAAAAATCAAAAAAACAATTTAAAAATTAGAGTCAATGAAGCATATTAATCGACTATGAAGCATAGTCGATTAAGAATCTGCTACTAAAAATAACAAATCACAACTGCGAAAAAATGCAAAATCAACTATATATTACAAAAACAAAAAATATACAAACATTATAAATGATTTATACAATTGGAACCAATAAACAACAAATCCAAAAAAAAAAAAAAAACAGTGGAGTCGATGAACCTTAATCGACTACCAGAGCATAGTCGATTAGCTTAATCGACTATGAACATGTACATACTACATAGTCGATTAATGTTTCAGCCTGCGCGAAATTCTCTACAGGCAAAACCCTAAATATGCCGCCCCATCGTCACCACACCGCCGCCACAACACACCATCACCACCTTACTTTGACATTATGACGGTTTTTTATTACAAATAAATAAATAAAATCACAACTCGCACCAGCAACCAAAGCAGAACCACCACCATCAAAATTCGATTCCGGCAACAAAACGACAATCTTACCTCTTTTCGTCTCCGATGTAGCAATCATGTCATTCGAATTCAGAATCGCTATCAAAATCATTTATAATGTTTGATGGGTGCTTCCTCTTCTTTCTTTCTCTATCTTCCGGCGGCGGCGGCAGCAGCGAAGAAGATTGTCGGAGAAAACAGCGGGAAAAAAAAAAGAGAGAAGAAGAAGAGAAAACAGAGAAGAAGAGAAAAGAGAGAAGAAGAGAAAAGCTGGAATGTTGAAAACGGCGGATGAAAATTAAAAATAAGATTAGGGTTTTGAAAGAGTATAATAGACAATTAAGGATAGTTTTGGAATTATGAAAATATTACATGGGTGGATATTAGCTAAGGGGGTTTTCTCTAATTATTTTTAGAATGAAGTATTTCCTTAACTCATTTTCCTAGATGAGGGGGTTCTTACTAATTATCCCTTTTTTTCTTTTTTTCTTTTCTCTTTCTTCATTTTTTTTACACTAATATAAAACAAAACAAAAATCCTCTTTTTTCTATATAATATAGAAAATTACAAAAAATACATGTTTTTTTTTAATCCAATTTACATATGTTTTTATATTTTGTTTTAATTTTATCCGTTGTTAATAATATTGTAGTAGAATTTGGTGTACTTTGATATACTACGATGTATTATGGTTTACGGTGTACTATAGTTTACTACTGCGTACTGTGGTTTACTACGGTATACTATGGTTACTATAGTTTACTACTGCGTACTGTGGTTTACTACGGTATACTATGGTTTACTACGGCGTAGTATTCTAAACCTTAGCATCAAAAAAAAATTATCAGTCGTCGGCAAACCCTAGAGCAAACAAATCATAGTCGCCGCCAACTACTATCCACCAACCCTAGCCGTCAACCAAAACCCTAGCGCCGTAAAAATACCCTATGTTGATGCAATCGCCTCCAACCATCGATCTAACCTCACACCACCATTCCCAATGACCACCTCCACCATAACCATCACCTGATCAATAACCACGACCACCACCGCCATCGCCATAGACCCACCTCCGCTGCCCCCTTCTACACCCTCCCCCTCTACCGCACTGTCGCCGAGGTCTCGAAGAACCTCGAGATCTTCAGATCTATGCATCGCCTCCTTCACTATACTCTACTGCTCGGCGACGGATCTGGATGGATCCTCAAAATCTTCAGATCTCGGCATAGTGGCGGTGGCATCCTCGGTTTGCACCCCTTGATTTGCAAGAGAGAGAGAGAAACGTGATGGGCTAGCGACAAAAATATGAGAGAAGGTGAGAGAGATGTGGAACGGTTGAGAAGAAGAGAGAAAAGATTGAGGTGAGGCGAGTGAAAAAAAAAAAAACCGTAAGAAGAGAGAATGAAAGGAATGCGAGATAAACCTAATCTTTTATTATTTATATTAAGGGTATTTTTGGGTTAAACAAAAATAAAAGGATGTGGGTCAAATTTTATTTTGAAGTAAGGAATTAATTAAGATATTTTATTTGAGGTTGTCATCTACTTCAAATTAATTATTTGTGTTGAGGGGCTCCTAGCATATTACCCCTAATTACAAATATCAAAATGTTATTGTAATAAAAATATAATTATCATATATAAAAGAAGATCGATATAAAATTAATACTACGCGTGCAATGCACCACGCACATCTTCTTAGTTTTTTTTTTCATTTGTTTTTTTTTTTACTGATAAAAGTGTGAATAAGTTTGAGGTTTCTTCCATTTTTTGTTTATACAAATTACCCCTGCAAATAACCATTAAAAATCACATTTGATGATCAATTAGTTCTATATAGACAACATTACAATGTAACAATATTCATAATAATTTTTCATAACGTAAGAAATAAACCACATTACAATAATAATAATGATGGTGATGATGACGACAGTAATTTAGTTGCATTAGATAATTTAAGGGTGCATTTGGATGGAAGGATTTGTGGAAGGGATTTCAAATCCATAATAACAAATCCCTTGGACTTGTTTGGATTGAGGGATTTGGGGATGGATTTCAAATCCACACCCCTCCTTTTTAGTTATGTTTTGAGCAATTGAGGTGGATTTCAAATGACTCCAAAATTGGAGTCATTTCAAATCCCTTCCCCAAATCAAATCCCTCCCCAAATCCTTCCATCCAAACGCACTCTAATTTAATTTAATTAATTTTCTCTAAAGTCGAATGTGTAGGATGATCTTGATCATAATTGGTAGAATCTAGCACTTACTATTAGATAATTAAATATCTCCGTATGTGTAAGTATTTTCACCAATAAGCTATTTTAGTTTTGTTTATTTCTTTTCATGATGCAGCACATGCGCTCTCTTTCATCCCTCTCACCTCATATTCTCTCTCTACATTTTCTATGTTCTCCAAAAACTTGGCCATGTTATTAACAATTATTTATTATTAATTATTTTATTTTCTTTGACTAGGCTGAGGGCTCCAAAGAGATTCTTTTTCCAGATCTACAGTTGAAAGAAAAGCTTTCTAGGCTAATGGAAAGGTCAAATGCAGAGCAAGACATGTTAGAAGAAGTCACAATCAACAAAGAGCCCAACGTAGTCGATTTCGAGCACCTAATCGAGCTCACTAACTACAGCGACAAAGGCAACTGCCAATTAGCAAACCTGATCAAGAACTGGGAGCACAAGCAAGCGAACGATGTTCGTCTCTTGAAGGAAGAGATCGACAGCCTAAGCAAACAGCGACTAGAGGCTGAGCTCAAGAAACTGGAAATTCTCGAAGAACGAGATGCATGTAGAGGCGATGAACGGCCGATTTCGATTCCTGATGAGGATTTGATCATTGAGGCGAAAAAGATGGAAATCGACGCAGAGTGTGATAGTGTAGTGCATTGGAAGGAGCAGAGAGGTAAACATGATCTTGAGAAGCTTCTAGAAGCTTCCCTACAACGGGAGCGAGTCTTGCTCGAGAAGCTTCAAGAGAGTACCGCGAATCTCGAGACGCAATCTTCTCCCGTTGAGGAGCTTTCGCAGCTTCTTACACGGGCTGATAACTTCTTGCATTTTGTCCTACAAAATGCACCGGTTGTCATAGGCCACCAGGTATGTATATGTGTGTGTATAATTCATGCATATTTAGGATTGTGATTGAAGCGATCGATTTTCTTACAGGCTTATAGTACATTGAGCTAATGGTACAATGAATAATATACACGTAAAAAAAATGTATTTATTGAAAATAAATAAAAGTAATTTCATAAATTAATAAGTTATTAATTAATGTATAAATTAATAATTAATTCATCAATAAGTTAATATTTCGCTAAATTAATGAAATTTTGATGGTCCCAACTGTAATAATTTATAGAGGTTTAACTGTATTTAGGATTAGGATTGTGATCGAATCGATCGATTTTCTTACAGGATAAAGACTTGCGGTATCGATTCCTGTTTAATCATTTCCCAAGTTTGGGTGAGGAGGTAACAAACTTACAACTTAGTATAGTTTAAGGTTTCGCTTTCTAAGCAAACAAAACTGTCTGATTTATTTTGTATGATTCAATTACAATTAAATAGGACATCATAGGCAAAACCGACGTCGAAATTTTCAGCGGAGGGGGGGTGAAAGAATCGCAAGACTTCAAAAAAGAGGTCCTCGAAAAAGGGTTGCCCGCGAAAAGGGAGATCACGTTCGAAACGGAGCTGTTCGGTTCGAAAACATTTTTAATGTACGTGGAGCCCGTTTTTAGCAAGGTCGGTGAAAAAATCGGAGTAAATTACATGGGAATGGAAATAACCGATCAAGTGAGAAAACGAGAGAAGATGGCCAAGATTCGAGAAGAAATGGCCGTGCAAAAGGCCAAAGAAACAGAACTCACCAAAACAATCCACATCACAGGTTATTTATTATACATAAACGAGATCGACAAAATAAAAAAAAAAAATTAGTTGCCTCGTTTTTTTTTTTTTTTTTTTTTTTTTAATTTTACATATGCGTTGTTTAATTATTAAAACAGAGGATTCGATGAGAGCGAAAAAAATGGTTGCAACTATGTCACATGAAATAAGATCACCTCTGTCTGGAGTTGTGAGCATGGCTGAAATTCTTTCGACTACTAAACTCGATAAAGAACAGAGTCAGCTACTAGGGGTAATGCTGTCATCTGGCGATTTAGTTCAACTAATAAACGACACCCTCGATCGTTCCAAAGTCGAGTCAGGTGCGTGCGGATTATATTTATTCCTCCTTAAAAAATGAAAATGTTGATCGAAAGTCGAAGTAATTTTTTTAAATATATACAGGTAAACCTCTATAAATTAATACAGTTGGGACTAGCAAAATTCTATTAATTTAGCGAAATATTAAATTATCGAACTGAAAATTTAGTACGTTTTTACTGAGTTGGGGTCGGAATAAACTATTATTTAAGCGAGGTTCTACTGTATATTTATTTATTTAGGAGTAATGAAATTGGAAGCTACTAAGTTTAGACCAAGGGAGGTAGTGAAGCATGTTCTTCAGACAGCAGCAGCATCACTACAGAAACTACTAGTTCTAGAAGGTCACATAGCAGATGATGTTCCTGTGGAGGTAAAATAGGATTTTATTTATTTATTTATTTTTTATTCTAGAATGTTCTAGAAGGTCCCTACCGATAAGGCTTATAACGAATGATTTCTTCTGTTTTAGGTTATTGGAGATGTCCTAAGAATTCGACAGATTTTCACCAATTTAGTCAGGTATATATATTTATATATGCATGCATATGGTTTTATTTTGTTGATGTTTTTTTTATTACAGCAATGCCGTCAAGTTTACGCACGAGGGCAAAGTCGGAATAAATCTCTACATCGTTAGAGATCCACGAACAATAATAAAACAAGATTCACAAGATCAATGGAATGCTTCAGACAATAATACGAAAGATGATCACAACAAAATTTTCGAAAGTGGGGTCTCGATGGATCAAGAAAAAGATTCTCACATAAACTCCGAAGAATCTGTAGTATGGATTCGATGTGACGTATACGACACAGGAATTGGAATACCTGGTACATATTTTTTTTCACTCCATGAAAAAAAAAAACATGAATGTCGTCTTAATACTGTTATTAGCAGTTATAACCGTCGTACGACGAAAACTAAAACTAATATATTAATTTTCTTTTGAATATAATCATGTAAAACAGAAAATGCTATGCCAACTCTATTTAAGAAACACATGCATGTCGGTGCGGACACGGCTCGAAAATATGGCGGAACGGGATCAAGCCTTTCTATCTGTAAACAGCTGGTAATTTTTAATCTTTTTTTTTCGTATTTAAGACGCGTTTTCTTATAAAATGTTTTCGTTTACAGCTACTTTTTCGACATTTTTAATTCGTTGAATTTCTTTAATTATATATATGTTTTTCACAGGTTGAGGTAATGGGAGGACATCTGACTGTATCAAGCACAGAAAAACAAGGCTCTACTTTTACATTTGTGTTACCTCACAAGCTTTCGACGATTTCCGACGACAGTTCCGAGGAATTATCAGACGACACTGACCACCAAGACATACTCGATGATCTAAATACGGGCGTTTTCATGTTCCAACCAAGGACTTAGGGCTCGTTGTTCTCGTCTCAAGGTTCCGGAAGGATCCAGAAGCTTCCGTCCGATAGTCGGGAATTCCAATGCAGTAACTGCTTCCCTTTTCCGTAAAAGAATCCAGCTATAAGTACAACAAGCGGTGTAAGCCTTTTATTGGCTATTATATACATCGGATTATTCACTACTTTCAAACTCTCTAATTGTGTTTTCGCATTATATCCAATGAATAAATATATTTCTTTCGGTAATTACCCAAACAGAGGAGTTTTTTTCGTAATTTGACCTTATCTCAGGGGTGACCGTAGTTTACCTAATCTTAAAGAATAAAATCCATACGAAAACAACTCGGACGAAGTATTAAGAAACTATGATCCGATCGTGGTGGAGAATACTTGACCATCGAGTTCATTGACTATCTAAAAGAGAATGTAATACAATCTCAATGGACTCCACCTAAAACTCCGTAACTAAATGAAGTTTTCGAACGTCGGAATAGAACCTTGTGAGACATGGTTCGATCTATGATGGGGTTCACCAACTTACCGGCATACTTGTAGGGTCATGCACTTCGCACTGCCGCGCATTTGCTGAATAGAGTTAACACCAAAGCAGTTAAATCCACACCATATGAACTTTGGCATTTCCAGAAGCCCAACATTAAATATATTAAGATATGGGATTGTCCCGCTTATGTGAAGCGACTAGTGGGAGACAAGTTGGATAGTAAATCCGACTTATGCTACTCTGTGGGGTATCCCGAGGACTCAATGGGATACGAATTATATTATGTCAATGAAACAAAAATGTTTGTTTAAAGAAATGCCACCTTTCTAGAAAAGGAGTTTCTATCAGATAGAAAAAACAGCATGATAGAACTTGAAGTAGTTCAAGAACCGCAAGGTGAAGTTCAAGCACAAGAACAAGTAATCGAGCCAATACAACAATCCACTAATATACCTCATGAACCTTCAGTACGCATATCCGAAAGAGTTCGGTAAATACCTGATAGGTTATTCCTCCTCGAAAATGATGAAGATCATATTGAACTTGGACAAGATCCAAGAACATACAATATGGAAAGGTATCGACCTATAAAGCTAGATTGGTAGCAAAATGATATACTCAAAGGCAAGGTGTTGACTATGAGGAAACCTTTTCACCAGTTGCAATGCTGAAGTCCATTAGGATTTTGCTGGCCATAGCTGCGTGATACGACTACGAGATATGGCAAATGGATGTGAAGACCGCTTTCCTTAATGTGGACATTGAGGAAGAAATTTACATGGCGCAGCCGGAAGGCTTCATATCTTCTGGAAGTGAGCAAAAGGTTTGCAAACTCCAGCTATCCATTTATGGATTGAAACAAACATCCCGTAGTTAGAACATAAGGTTCGACTCAACTATCAAAGAGTTTGATTTTGAGAAGAACCCGAAAGAACCTTGTGTATACAAGAAGGTTAGTGGAAGGGCAGTGATATTTTTGGTGCTTTATGTCGATGACATTCTACTAATTGGGAATGACGTAGGAATGTTACAACAGACAAAAGCTTGGTTGTCCACACGTTTCTCAATGAAGGATTTGGGAGAAGCCTCTTACGTATTGAGAATACGTATCTATAGAGATAGAGCAAGGAAGATGCTTGGCTTATCCCAAACCCTGTACATAGACACCGTTATGAAACAATTCAGCATGGAAGAATCCAAGAAGGCAATTTGCATATGTCCCATGGGGTTTGTCTCTCGAAATCCATGTCTCCTCAGACACCTAGTGAAATCGAGGAGATGAAAAGGACGCCTTATGCTTCTGTCATAGGAAGCATATTAATGTGTGGCATGCTATGTACTAGACCCGATATTGCGTATGTTGTGAGTGTCACAAGCAGATATCAATCTAACCCCGGTCCAGCTCATTGGAAGGCTGTGAAAGATATCCTCAAGTACTTGCGAAAGACTAAGGATATATTTTTGGTCTATGGGGGTGACGAGTTGAAATTAGAAGGCTTTACCGACTCTGGTTTTCAATCGGATGTGGACGACTCAAAGTCGAACTCGGGATTTATATTCACGCTTAATGATGGTGCCGTGTGTTGGAAGAGTTCCAACCAAAGCACGACGGTCGATTCCACTACCGAAGTTCAGTATATTGCAGTATCCGAAGCTGCAAAAGAAGGGACTTGGATAAGGAAATTCATCCAAGAGTTGGGTGCGATAACACCGGAGCCGTGGCGCAAGCTAAGGAGCCGATATCTCATCAGAAGTCCAAGCATATATTTTGAGGAAGTATCATGTGATCCGAGAGATCATTGATAGAGGTGAAGTCAAAGTAGAACGAGTCTCCTCGGAAGAGAACGTTGCAGACCCCTTCACAAAGCCTTTACCAAGGTCGGTCCACAAGAAACATCTAGAGTCGACGGGATTACGATTTATGGATAGTTGGCTTTAGGTCAAGTGGGAGATTGTTAGAGTAGGTGACCAACAAGCCAACTTGTGGCTGTGCTCTTTCCATTTATTCTTGTAATAAATAATACTTTTTAGTATTAATGATAAAACACCTTGGCATTCTATATCTTTGTCCCTTGTTCAAACTGTAACACCCCGTATGCTTCTTTACTACGATTCCCATTTCGGACCTCGACATATATTTAACTAAGTTTGGGTACTAATTTATATATTATATATTTGAGAAAGGATAAATAATAAAGAACAAGGAAAGTTGAAGGGCCTAAATACAATAATGGGTAAACATGGCCAATTCTCATTCACTTCTTAATACACGCATTTCTTCATCCCAAAATATTACTCTCGTCTCCTCTCTCTCTCTCTCTCTCTCTCTTCATCGCTCTTGCTCTCTCGATTCTTGGTTGGAATCACATAAATTAATTGGAGAAATCGAATTGAAGAAGAGGTCTGAAGGAGTGCGGTATATGAACAAATTTGAGGTTGGAATTGGAAATCCCCAATTAAATTATCGACAAAATTAGGGCTGTCTGAACGAGGGGTTATAAATATGAGGTCACATTGTTGGAAAGCTTGGGAAGTCAGCTTTCTAGTGGTGGTGGCCTCCAGCAGTGGTTGCATCAGATGGTCGCCGGAATCGGGCGAAGAAGACGACTAGCTGTCCAGAAATCGAATTTCAGTCTTTGGCTCTTCAAAGAATTAATTGATGGGAAGGTCTTAAAGGTGGAGTTTCGACGATCAGGAGGTGCCGTTCGAATCCTTGATAAGTTATCTTTCCATTGGTGGTGGTCTCCAGCGTCGCTGACCGGCGGTGGTCGCCGGAATTGGGCGAGAAGTTCAGCTTGCTCGCTGGACCTATAATAAAACCTGCTGCCGCAGCTGTTTTCGGAGCCAAATCGAAGGGTTTGGAGTGAGAATTTGGAATCAGTCTCTTCACGAAACTCGTAGAAGACCATGAGAATTTTAAGCAAGTGCGAAATCGTTTCTGATTCGATCAATTTTTATAGCCGTTTCTTATTCGCTCAACAGTGAATCTGTCAAACAGGGCAGTTTTGAGTATTCGTTTTTGGGGGGATGTTTATGCTATGTTGAGCTGATAATTTAGGCTATGTGTCTTCTGAGAACTTGTAGATTACATTGTTAGGTTCAATATGGTGTATTATTTGGACAATTTGGATAACTTTACAAATTGTTATGATTTTTGAAATAAACAGTGCCAGCGAATGCATTTGTTTAAAAACCTGGCAGTTTCATGCAATCATCTTCCGGGGCTGTTACTGCTGTGTTAGGTCGATAATCTGGGATTGGTTTCTCAGTGAACTTGTAGATGGATTTGTTATCTTTAATTTGGTATATAGTTTAGGCTATTCGGATAAGTACGGTGATCGTAGTGGTTGTTAGAATGAGCCGTGCGACAGGACATTCTTAATAAATGTTTCTAGAAATTGACTATGTAAATCTTATTAAGTGATAATTATTTGAATAGGTGTTGAGCGTAGTAAAGCTCTCACTCAAGACTACTCTGGATTTAAGCGTGGCTTGAGGGTAAAGATGTATTTATAGCACTTGCATTGGACTTCAGGTGAGTATCTCTATTTCTTCACTATTATTTATTGGAAAAATAGAATGATAAGATCTTTTATTGCTTCTTGGTCACTTAAAATTAGGGGTGGCAATTTGGATCCGGCTCCATGGATCCGATTGGATCCGGTTCGGTCTATAAGGATCCAGTTTAGATTAAGTCTAGTTGAAACAAATCGGATCGGATCAAGTTGATTTTTTTTAAAAAAACTGGATCCATGTGGATCCACTTTAGATCCATTGAAAGTTTAACCACAAAATAAAGTGGATCATATTGGATCCAACCAAAATCTAGTGGGAGGTCTGTGCATTGTAGTTGGGGATTCGATTGCTAGAATAGTCTTGGATGTCCTGTGTGTTCTCATAGTTTGTAGTCTTTAAGTCTCTGGCCAGAGCTGACTGAGTGATGATTAGGGAATTTGATTCTCTAAGTCATGCACGTATCGATTACAACATTTAGAACGATCGCACAGTTATTGAACTACAAAGAAGGTCTCGATGAACCAATGCCTCTAGTTCAATCGGGACATATGAATCGAAGGGATCGTACTGTACGTTAACTATACAAACGGTTCTTGCAGGCACTTCATTTGTATCTAGGGAATCATGACGCGTAGTTGCTAGACGCCAATCTTGATTCGTTGGGTGATTAAGTTGAAATGAACTTTATCTTAATTGTAACTCTAGGGACGAGTTTAAACCACAAAGAGTTGTGGACCCACGACTAGCTTACACCTGAACCATCGAGGGTCACAATGCTCGTGCACTCGAGTTCTTTGAATAAACGGTCAAAGATAAAAATGTTTAATCTTTGCATAATTGGAAGTCAATATGATTGAGTCCAACATTCGTAATTTGGAATTATGAATGAGAATAAGAAAAAGAAAAAAAACTAGGCAAACATCTTAGTGAACTTTCTAAATTGGGAAGTTTCCAAATTTAGAAGGTCCACTGAATTAGGGTTTCCATGTTTAGAA